AGAGCAAGGGGAGGGGGGCAGATCCCCCTGGGATGGCAGAGGCCTGTCTCCGGCAGCTCAGTTGATGCGACTGTCCCATCCCCTCCATGCCCTTCTGGGGCAACACGTCCCCCAGCCACGCATCGGGCTCACCTCCACGGCCTCAATGATGGTGACCACGTCGCCCTTATGGAAGGCCAGCTCCTGGGCCTTGGGCTTGGTGTGGTCGTGCTTGGTGACGCAACCTCTCCACCTCCCACAGCCATCAGGGCCACCCCCAAGGACCACCTGAAGCCCTGGCTGGTGACAAGGGGCACCCCTCACCCCACAGTGGTCCTTGGGAGACATGTCACCCCAGGGTCATCCGGGGAAGCACTGGCATCCCTGTGGCAGCCCTGCTCACCCCAGACATGGTCAGCTGTCAGCGCATCAGGGACTCCCTCTCCTCTCCTGCTGCCACCTGCAGAGAAGAAACCAAAGGCGCCTGTGGAGAGATGGGCTGAGCTGGCCTGTCTCAGGCCGCCGCTGCTGTCATAGAATCACAGAATCACCGACTGGTTTGGGTTGGAAGGGACCTTAAAGCTCATCCAGTTCCAACCCCCCTGCCAGCAGCAGGGACACCTTCCACTAGACCAGGTTGCTCAAAGCCTCATCCAACCCGGCCTTCAACACTTCCAGGGAGGAGCAGCCACAGCTTCTCTGGGCAACCTGGGACACTGTCTCACCACTCTCATTGTAAAACATTTCTTCCTTATATCCAAGCTAAATCCACTCTTCCAGTTTAAATCCACGGCCATTTGTCCTGTCACTATAAGCCTTGGGAAAAAGGGTTTTTTTCTGTCCTTTACAAACCCCTTTTAAGTACTGGGAGGCCGCTAGAAGATCTCCCTGAAGCCTTCTCTTCTCCAGGCTAAACAACCCCAACTCAGCCTTGCAAAGGTGCTCCAGCCCTTGGACCATTTCTGTGGCCTCCTCTGGACCCCCTCCAACAGGTTCACATCTTGTGCTGAAGAGCCCAGCACTGGAGGCAGCACTGCAGGGGGGGTGTCAGGAGAGCGGAGCAGAGGGGCAGAATCCCCTCCCTCCACCTGCTGCCCACGCTGCTCTGGGTGCAGCCCAGGACACGGTTATTGGCCTCTAGGCTGTGAGAGCCCATTGCCGGCTCACATCCAGTTTGTCAACCATCAGTATCCCCAAGTCTTTCTCTCCAGAGCTGTTCTCAATCCATTCATCCCAGTCTATACTGGTACTGGGAACTGCCCTGACCCAGCTGCAGGACCTTGCACTTGACCTTGTTTAGCTTCATGATGTTCACATAGGTCTACTCCTCCAGCCTGCCAAGGGCCCTCTGGATCGTATCTTCTCCCCTAAGTGAATCAATTGCACCACTCAGCTTGGTCACATCTGCAGAATTGCTGAGGGTCCACTCAATCTCACTATATACCACTGATGAAAATATTAAACAGCATTCATCCCAGTATGGACTCTTGAGAGACACTACTTCTTACTGCTTTCCGCTTGGACATTGAGCCATTGGCTGGAACTCCTTGGATGTGGTCATCCAGACAATTCTTTATCATCTAGCAGTCATAGAATCATTGAATAGTCCATTCTCACATCCCTGTCTCTTCAATTTAGAGATAAAACTGTTGTGGGGGACCATACCAAGGCCTTACAGAAGTCCAGGTAGATAACATCCATAGCTCTTCACTGGTCCACTGATGCAGTCACTGCATTGTAGGAGGCTGCTAGATTAGTCAGGCACATGACTTGGTGAAGCCATGTTGGCTGTCTCTAATCACCTCCCCGTCTTCAATGAGTTTTGACACATCTTCCAGAAGGACCTGCTTCATCATCTTATCAGGTGGTGAGGTGAGGCTGACAGGTCAGTAGTTGCCAGGGTCCTCCTTTTTACCCTTTTAAAAAATGGGTGCAATGTTTCCCTTTTTCCAGTCACGGGGAGCTTTGCCTGACCGCCACAGCTTTTCACATATGATGGAAGGTGGCTTAGCAATTACGTCAGCCAACTCCCTCAGGACCCTGTACTGCATCTTGTTGGATCCTGAAGACTTATGTATGTTCAGGTTCCTCATGTGGTCTTAAACCTGGTCTTCTCCTACAATGGGAGGGACTTCATTCCCCCAGTCCCTGCCTTGAGGTTCAGGGGCTTGAGAGACATGAGAAGAGAGATTGTCATTGAAAACTGAGGCAACAATAACAACAAAAAAGTTGAGTACTTTAGCCTTCTCCATGTTGGTTGTCACCATCTCTCCTGTCTTATTTAAGGGGAGGGACATTTACTTTAATCTTCCTTTTCTGGCCAATGTACCTGCAGAGGCCCTTATTGTTCTTCGCATCCCTTGCCAAATTCCACTCCAACTGTGCCTTAGCTTTCCTGATCCCATCTCTACACAGCCAGGCAGCATCCCAAGGTACATGTCTCCGGTTCCACTGCCTGTGCATTTTCTTCTTACACTTTGGTTTGACCAGGAGGTCCTTACTGAGCCATGCTGGTTTCTTGTCTTCCTTGCCCAATTTTTTTACCATATGGGAACTGAGAGCTCTTGTGCTCTAAAAAAAATGTCCTTAAAGAGCTACCAGCTGTTCAGCTCCTCTGTTCCTGAGGGCAGTTTCCCAAAGGGTTCCTTGAACCAATAATTCCTTGAACAACTGAAATAGTGGATGGTGGGACTCAATTGGCAAATCCTCTCCTGCTGCCTGAGCAGCACAGGGTGCTAGAGGGGGGACATCTCACCTGCCATGGAGTTGACATCAAGCCTGTGTGTTCAGTGGCACTGCTTGGGCTGCTGTGCATCCCCATACCACGGCATCATCCCCAAACCCACCATGCTCTTAAAAGTCAAGTCATGGTTTCTGTAAGTTTTGTTCTGATTTCAGCACCCTTCCTCCGGACCCATTTTGCAGTTGAAATTTCTCTCTGTCACTGTGTGGCAGATGCTTTCTTTCCTTCTCTAAAGGAAGGTGGAATTTCTCAGTGCTCACAACTCACATTCTCCAGCTTTGCTAAAGATGCCATCCAATGAGACCCACGTTGGCAGAGCTGCTTTGTTCCCACCTTGCTCCTTCGTACCAGAGAACTAGAGATAGTGTGAAGTTGTCCCAGCAGCTCAGTGCTCCTCTCTGTCTTCACAACCTCGAAACAGCCAGGGAAGTATCAAGTTCCAGAGAAGAGAAGCAGCTGAGGAGAGGGAGAGGTGATTTCATCCATGCACGTATTTCCTTGGTGCTCAGTGAATATGAGAGTCTGGGCAGGGCAATTCGGGGCTGGGACCCAGCGCTGACTGTGTTGCTCTCAGGAAACCCCACTGTTGGCCTTTTGGAAACTTCTAGCCAGAGCAGGATGATATCTCCCCAGCTCTGCTGGGCTGGGAGAGGTGCAGGGGCTCACTCAAAGATGACAGTCTTTGCTCTATTCCTCTTTTGGAGGGTGAGTCATGGTCACTTCTCTGCATCACCGGTGGTAAGCCCCAGCCTGTCTCCGTGACGGAGAGGATCCGAGGACTTACTGTGCCAGTCCCTATCCAGAAGAACAACAAAAAAGGGACAAGTGCAGCTGTTGCAAGGTTAATATTAGCAGGCAGCAGTGTTTTCTGTTCCAGAAGCCACCATTAGCTAACGCAGACATCCTCTCCTTCTGTCCACCTGTGCCTGTTCCCCAGCAGGCACAGCCCAAGTCTGATGTGACTGGTTGCAGCTCAGCTCACTTTCAGAATGGGTGAGGACCTCAAGGCCACGGAGCTTAAGGACAGCATCCACTCCAAAACCCTCACAGCGCTACAACCTGGCATGAGGAGGGACATGGTGGCTCAGCCAGGGAGGATGACAGTGGCTCTGACAGTTGGTCCATCACTTTCTACTGCTCCAGGACAGTAATTTCTGTTGAAAAGCAGCAACTGTTTGCTCAGTCCTCCTCCTGTGTGCAGACAGCAGGTGATGGTTGGCAGGAACGGATCCTCTGCTCTGAGCACCCAAGGGCCCGGCTTCTCTTCTGTCCAGCTGGCACTAGGGCTCAGAGTGCCAGACACATATCCCCACATGGATACCTGCTTCTGGCAGGGCCTGGAGAGCAGCCAGTGCCTCCACCCAGCCACCAGCAGCAATGGCAGTGAATCACCTTCCTCCTGGTGCCACTCACATGCCTTGACCTTAAAGCAACTACTTGTTCTTGGAGGTGTTTGGTCCATGTGATTCCCATGAACATTCCCACAAGCAGGATGCATGGGCAGAAATCTGGGGAGGAGAATCTGCTCCCTCTTTGTTTTAGACGTGTTCTACACTTTTAATCTGTTAACCTGAGTATTTGCAATGAGGATGAGTACAGAAACACAGTGGGGTTTGGTGGAGCCACCCCAATCCCAAACTGGGGAGTTCAGGTCTGTTTCCAGTGCACAGAGCTTCCCCAAGCGAGGAGCTGCCAGGACCCAGCGGCAGAGTGGCAGAAAAGGGGACACATGCGTTGGCAGATTGCACCTCTGCGCTGAGATCAGAGACGGGTACATTGTGCACACACCTTTGAAACACAGGCTGGAGAACTTTTGTACAAACACCTGGATGCACTAAGGGTCACTTGGACAAAGGGCAAGTACAGCTCTTTTGCTGAAAACCAGGTGGCATCTGGCCATTTTCCCCACTGACCACAATGCTCTTTACAACACAACGTCCATCCCTCTCCACTGACAGAGCGGACACAACGTGGCACCTGCTCTCAGCAACTCCAACAGATCCTTGCACTTACCTCCCAGCACTGTCCATGCAGGGCCTCAGGGGCAACGGTGTCTCGGGGTAGCTCACAGCGAAGCCTAGGCTCAGATTCCTGAATTCCTGGAGAGTAAATTCTCTTTCATACCGAACAGCAAAGCTTTATTTTCAAGGACATGCTCCCAGAAGGAGCTACTGCGTTATTTCCTGATTTCTCTTCTGGTGAGGGCTGCAGATGCAGTGTCTCAGAGGTCCTAGTGCCTGCCGCCTGCACCGTCAAACATTAATCACAGATGACTCATTATTTAACAACACTTAAAACAACTTTTACCCTTTGAGGGCACACCCTCACTAGAAATGGAGATCATCAGATCCTATATCCTCCAGTGCTGTGCAGCACTCACAGAAAATTGATGATCTACGATGCAAATAGGGAGATTTGCTGTTGCTGCCTCCAATGCCATGATCAGAGCAGCTTCCCAAGGAGTGGGTGCCTGTTGTGGCAGCAGCTCTCCAGGGAGACAGAATCGGGAGAGGATGTGGTGGGACCAGGGATCCTGAAGTCTAATCCTGTCTCAGCACCAACTTCTGTGATACTTAGGGAACGTTGATCCAAGAGCATGGCCATGGCTTGCTGCTCTATAGGGGATGAAAACACAGATGATTGCAGGTTGGAACAGGCAATTGCACAGAGACCTTTAAATGAACACCACTGTCAAACGGCAGTGCCTCATCTATACCCTCCAGCACCCACAACTAGTGGGGAGGGAATAATCACCTCCACAGTTCATCATCCCAGCCAGGAGACTGGAGACTAGTTCTGCACTATCATTCAACATTCCCAATATTCTGAGTAAAACAGTGAAAAAGAGGAAAATGCATTTTCAGGCAAACACCATACTAGGGGCTTGGGTTATTTTTATTTGTACTTTTTTGTTTTGTTTTTAATAAAATTGTGTTTAAGCCTTCAAAAAATACTGGCAATTCAAGGGCAAAGGCAGTGTAGAAGACAACTATTCCAAAACTAGACAGTAGTTTCACCTTCTGGTTATATTTGAAGACAGATTATATATGAAGACAGGCTGAAGAGTTGGGGCTGTTGAGCCTGGAGAAGAGAAGGCTCCGGGGAGATCTTCTAGCGGCCTCCCAGTACCTGAAGGGGCTACAAGAAAGCTGGGGAGGGACTTTTCATACGGGCAGTTAATGACAAAACAAGGGGAAATGGGTTTAAGCTGAAAGAGGGGAGGTTTAGATTAGATATTAGGAAGAAGTTCTTCACCGTGAGGGTGGTCAGACACTGGAACAGGTTGCCCAAGGAAGTTGTAGATGCCCCCTCCCTGGAAGTGTTGAAGGCCAGGCTGGATGAGGCTTTGAGCAACCTGGTCTAGTGGAAGGTGTCCCTGCTGCTGGCAGGGGGGTTGGAACTGGATGATCTTTAAGGTCCCTTCCAACCCAAACCATTCTATGATTCTATCATATTTTTCCATCAAGAAACAACTTCCCCAAGCCATTTAAGCTGGTCCATTCATAGAATTCTTGGGATGTGTTTCCTCAGGAGCACTCCTTGCACTATCCTTTGGATTTGTAAGGATGGATCCTTAGACAGCAGGTCTGTTCAGGCTTGAGAATAAACACAAGAATACATCCTTACAGCCCCTGTGCCACACTCCTGGGGCTCAGCATCGCATCTCCTGGGGTATGCGCAATACTCTCTGACAAACAGAGAAGTTTTGTACTTTTGGGTTTTGCCACATCCGGTTGTTGTTACAAACGTGACCACGGCCCAAAGAACTCGGCATCACACAGAGGGAACAACTCGCTCAGGCTTCATAAATGGGCTTTCCCTGTGCTACTGTATGGC